ATATATGGTAATGGGAAGGTAAAAGTGTTTAATACAATTGACGTTTACAATTTCAACCTTACATTTATTTTTTTACGTACGTCATTTTCACGTGATAAATAATGTTTCTGCTTATATACGCAATTTTTTTTAAATAAACAACAACTTTTACGAATTACAAAGTCTAAAATATCCAATCATTCATATGATGGAAATTTTTGTAATACAAATGTTTGTATTTAGTAAATATTTAATTTGCTTAATAAGAATTCCACTTTTTTTTTCCAAAAATTTTCTTAATTTTAATTATGATTTGTGCATATATTTTATTCCACCGTATACTTTTTCAATTATCTCGAGTGAATTGTATAATTTTTCATTCTTTTCTGCTCTTGGTGGAAATCATTGATGAAAATATGTTAATATTGATTAATTACATATTGCTTTTAAAATTTGCTATACTGAAAGTATAATAAAATTAACAAATGTAAAATTTAAAAAAAAAAAGAAAAATGACGTGAATTTTTCATTCAAATGGATGCTTTGAACAATTTAAAAATGAAAAATCGGATAAAATTTGAGACGAAAAATTGAATGAAAAAGAAATCAAAGGTATGACGAAGAAGGAAATGGAGAAGAAATTTGTATAAAAAAATGGAAATAAAATTTTCTGTAGCATTTTCATCTTTCATGAAAAATGATTTTCATGCAAATGAAGAATTCATGAATAGAGAAGAAATAAAAAGAGAAGAAAGAAAAGACTGAAAAAAAAAGTGAAATAAATTTGAAAAGTCTTTTCATCGATATTGATACAAAATAAAGTTAGAAATAAGAGCTTAGAAGTTTAAAATGTATTTAAAGTGTAATGACATTTCAATCGAAAGTAAACATTCTTTACTAATTTGATTGAAAATTAATTACACTTTCAATATGACTGGGAATCATTAAAAATGTTTAAAATTAAAACTTTGAATTTCACAAAAATTTTTGTAAAATTCGAAGTTTTGTTTTTGTAAAACACAAATTTTTAATTTGGCAATAAATTTTTTGTTTTTTTTAAACTGAACTTTGAAATGATTAAAATGTTATGAAGATGGTGTAAATAAGAGAATGCAACTATCTTTAAATATTATCAATACTGATTACCCCTTGATATCAATTGATATCAACAATTTTGATGCAAAATTTTTACATTTTAGCATCAACTTATTACATTAAATTGTATCTATTGGTAGTAATTAATTAATATTATGAAATGTATTGTTTCCTCCATTCTGCACTAATGATTATTTAATACATTATGCTACATAAGCTAAGAAATAGTTTTTATCCTAATAGGATTAATTAGCAATTTCAGAGAATTAATTAATAATCCTGTCTCAGAGCATTTCATTTATATTGGTTCAAATGAACATAAACGAAAAAGGATGTTCCATGAGGATATTTAAAAGTTCATAGTATTAATATTATAAATTAATAGTATTAATATAAATATTTAATATAAACATTAATTTTAATATCCATACATCAATTTCATTATCTATTCACCCTGTTAACGATGATTATTAATAAACAAATGGAAATGATTTAATTAAATAATGAAATTCATTTTTAGCAAAATATATTCTGATGAGTTATATTCAAATTTTATCAACAATACCAACAAATTGGCAATTATTATCAAGTTCAATGGGTTGCCTAGAACTTTTGTAATCATATCATATCATACATTAAATCAAATTTAGGCGATATCCAAAGCACAACAAATATGATGCATGTAGCACTACAACAAAAACTAAATAATATTCTAGAATTTTTAGAATGTTTCCTTTTACCAGATAAACACAAAAACAAGTAGTGACAATAAGTGGACAATTCTAGATTTTGATGATTTGTCAAAAAAAAAAAATTTCTTTCTATGTGAATGCGACAATTTCTATGATGATTTAATTGCGCCAACAAATGTCAATCTTTCATGTTGATTAGATCTATTACAGTACAATGATATCAGTCAACAAATTTTAGCAATTATCTGAAAGTTTGGAAATTCCAAAGCAAATATATTAATACTACCGGTTATGACAAACTTCATTCAACAAATAGTACAACATTCTGTTGTGTCAAACCGGAATGTTGTACACAGTGCACTTAATCCTTCTTTACGGTCATCTTTGTCCACTTATCGAATTCCCTAACGGAATGTATTTCCATCCATCTAATATAGCACTTCCCACATTGACCATTACCAATTTACTATCAAACAAATTCATTTCATTCTTTAAATCACAAAAATAAAATTTAGCATCACATTACAGAACAAGTTAATGCTTCCTCAATTTTCTGAGTTTTACAACTTTCTCTCCCCCCCCCCCTCCCCGTCTATAAAATGATCCATCTCTATTTAGCAACTAAAAATGATTATATTTCGGTTATGATTACTATTGTAATTTGCGCTATCGATGACATCTGTCAAAATAGGGACATTTCAGTGCTTTTGTATAATGAAAAATTTTTTAAATAACACAAAATAAATTTTCTCTACAAATTATCAGCATAAATATTACCAATCATTTTTCACCTTTTACCTTTCACCTTTCACCTTTGGTTGAATGTTATAAACCAATTAATAGCGATAACAAGTCCAAATATTCTTAAAGTAGTAAACGATGTCTAATTAATTCATGCTAAATTAATTCATCTAATTAATTCATGGAAGGATACATACTGTAAGTGCAATTTTTGCGCATATGTTACAATATGACGTATATGGCGTAAGGTGAGACTATTTGACCTAGATAAAGATGCAACACATGTGTAACTAAAAATGCGCAAATGTTAAACTATTCCGGAAGACAGATGGTACAGAGAGGCTTAATGATCTTTAAAATCCCAAAATTGAACTTATCAAGGAAAAAAAAATACGCTTGCGATAAGGATAAAATGCTTACCAACTATTATTAGACCATCCCTATGCAACAATCAGCCGTGTTAAACCACAGATAAAATGCTGCTTCTAATATGTTAACCTATGACCTGTATGCATACTGAAATTATCACAGAGTTGGAGCAATTGCAATATAAAATCTTATAATGGAAGCTAAACAAAGCATATAACTTCCTCTGTACCAAATTATGATAAAGCATTCAGTAACTTAGTCAGAAATTAAAAACAATGAAAGAATTCTTACTTTCTTCTCCACATTAATTTCAATCCAATTTTTGTCGTCCAATATTTTGCACAAAAACAAGTTTTATACTGCGCTATCATCCAATTTAAATGTCATAAAAATCTTTTTTTTAACAAAGTAATTATTTATATATTTTTATAAAAAAAAAAGGAACGGAATAGATTGATGCAGCGCAATTACATTTGCGCATGAAAGTAATAATAGATATTTATAACTTCATTAATCATTGAAAAGCATTGAAATCAATAAATATGTGATACATTTTTTAGATGCTTCATTCGTTTGCTTATTTATAAAGTTAAATTTAATATTTTATTAAATTTTCCAAGCTATTTTGAAATCTAACATTCTAATACAATAATATCACTGATTTGGTGACATACAAATACAGAAATACCACTGATAACATTGAGGAATGAGGGAAGTAAATGAATTGAAACTATCCCTCATCGAAAATAATCCACTCTAAAAAAGACTTTTGACCTCAAAAGTTCAAAGAAATGGTACTGCAATTGGTGATTTTTTTTTTCATAGAAATTGACGAGAAGTATGAAAATTACTCCTAAACAAGTTATTTTTCTATAGCGACATTATGAAGATGACATGGATAATTTTTTAATGTCACAAATAATTTGAGCAAATCTAAAAAAAAAAAGAAAGAATTACAAAGTATTTACAGAAATACGAAAAATTCATTTTGAAAATTAACAATAAAATTAGAGAAAGAAAAAAGGATGGAAAATTTAAATGGTTCTTAATTTTCAAAAGGAAAACAAGAAAGAGAAGAAATGAAAAGAAATGAGCAATAACGAAATGGGAGGTGAATATCAAAACTGGGAGTGATTTTTTTTTTTCTTTCTTTTTCAGAAGTTCAAATTCAATAAAGGAATTTTAGAAGTTGGAGAAAATTTTCGATTTACAGAAAGATTGAAATACAGAGGTTTTCACAAACATCAAAAATGATTTGATAAAAATGAGGAAAGCTTCAAATTTTCACTCGAATTTTTCACACTATCATTTCAAAATATATAAATGGAAATTTTTTGCATTTGTTAATGTTTAACTGGAGTAATTTAGATGTCATGCATTAGCAAATCATCTTAATTGACAACCAATTAGCTTAATTAGCAAATACACAATATATCAATTTCCTAATTAAAAAAATTAAACATCTATTTCCGAAATTACACTGATTGATTTGAAAGTAAAATATAAATCATTATTGCGTGATATGATTAGTGTGGTTTGATAAAAAGTGATCCTATCAACAATTGGATATGTAAGAGTTTCAAAATTCAATGAGATCAGTTATTGGATAAAAAATATCTATTCAGTGATAAAAGAATTTCTGATCTTATCGCAAAAAAAATTTTAAATCTGAATATTTCTTTCAAAAGTAAGTGTTACTGAATCCTAAAACAAATACATCTAATAGATTTTTTTTTTCAATTTAGAAGCATCTTTCCCTCAGCTTCAATCCTGAATTACCATAATTTTTCATCCTATTCAGCCACCCATTCTTATCATAACTGCTTATCAACTAATCAACAAAATTATTTTCTACGAAACCTATAATTTCGTTTTCTAAGCGATAATTTTTGATTAATAAATTTTGTCAAAAAAGAGTAAATAGCTATCTATCTGTATTTTCTGGTTACTCTAGTATAAATTTCCGGTTTTATTCCTACAATCCTCAGCGTTATCTGAATAAAATGGATAAACTTTTTTTTTTGTTACTTATTTAATGTTTTCAAGATTAGAACATAGGAATACGAGATGTATGTGGTTGTCCACATACAATGGTAGATGGAGAACTAGTTCAAGCATTATTTGATGATTGCATGTTGTGTGGCGTTAGGGAAACTTTTGACAAATGCACTCAAACTGTTTTATAATAATGAGAAGGTAAAAAAAAAAAAAAAAACTGATCTTCGCAAGAATTCTAATTTACATTCCAACTGGAACAAATTCCTTTCCATACAATCATATCAATCTTTACTTCAATATTTCAATGTTTTCAAATTGTTTAATCATAACAGATCAATTTAGCAAAGTCGTTTTTTTTATTGAAAAATTTGGAAAACTTAAAAATATAAATTTGCCAATTTTAGGAAAGTTGTTGTAATTATCAGATCATGATCAAATCAACCAGTGATTTCTCATTCGCTAATTTACAATATATCTACCCTCCTGAGGAAGTGTTGAATAATGTTGAAGGAAGTGTTGAATATGTCTATTTAAAACTTTCATTCAATCAATTCTTCATATGTTATGATCGAACCTTGCTGATATATTCATCAAGTTTAGTTTCTGGTTTCACTTACATTTACATCGATGAGATCGGCATTTCAAAATTGATTGAATGAATATATTTGTTTCTCTAAAGCACCAGACAATACTGAAATTTTGGACAAACTCGACAAAATGATTATTATTTCCAGAGAAAAATTAATATTGATTTTGAACAATTAACAAAATTTTTGCTTATTAATCATTGTCACTATAGATGTAATTGTTAGTCGGATACGATAGTTTGAAAAGGTCAGGAAAGTCAGGTTATTGTGACCTCGAATGCACAATCAATATACTCAATGGTTCCTTTACTTTTCATTTACATTTATATGCAAATCAACATTCCAGTCCGTTTTAGTTTTATTTATTTATAGAATTACCATATTGATCGGTGTTACAGTTATTCACATTGTCCACCTCGTTCACATCATTGATCGGTCGATCAGTGGTTGATACGTGAAGCTTTCTTTACTATTCTGTATAGCAAAATGTACTAATTTGAATACCATATGTTTACGTTAACTTCCTTTTAATTGACAAAGAAAAGAGGAAGAGAGAGAGAGAGGGAGAGAGAGAGAGAGAGAAAGAGAGAGAAGAAAGTGACTGCTTACATTTTGTTATAACTTCAAAAGAATGAATTGTCACATCTAATTTATTGTTACATTACATATCAATGAATTAGGCTACCTGTTGATTAGGAATGACCTGATAACATTCCTGAACCAAAAATGTTAGCAATATTAATTACGGATAACTTCTGAAAAATGTTTATTGAAAGACAATTAATGGAAAAGTATAAATGAATGGTTGACAAATATTCTCTTATCTGAAAATTCCACCTGAATATTAATCGCTAGGATACGTGTATGTGTACGTGTGCGTAAATGAAATGCCTATAGAGCAAGGCTTAACGCTTACTTTTTGTCCAAAATTGATTACGTGCAATTGTGAGTGGGTAGCAATCAATGTCACCGTTTGTTGACAATGAGTGAATAATTTTGACAGGTGAAGTTACATTACCATTCTGTTATAGCCTGCGTCACCTTTTACCAAATAGCGGTTATCTAGGTACGTGAAATTCGTAAAGATCACGTGTGGTGTTATTGTCAGTGGAAGTCGTAAAGGTTCCGGCGATATTTTTGTCATTATTATTAATCGCTGTCACTGTTAATAGGGGAAGACACGTGTGATAAGTAAGGAAAGGAGACTTGACCTACGAACTTATCTATTAAATGAAATATTTTTGGTACCATGGTACCAATTTTTTATGCCACACAAGTTCGTGTCCACGTTTAGGTCAATGAGATATTTTGTACTTTTCCACTCCATCTGGTCAGTAATCAATTTTCTCTATGATAACCATCCATTGTAGAGGGAGGCCAAATTATGGAAAAAAGGATGGAAATCGAGGAAATCAAGAACGAGAAAAAAGTAACAGATTCTTTTTTTCGAGAACTTATTTTTTATCCGGTATTGTTTGCGTGACGAGAAGATTTACAGGGAAGTGAAGGTGGTGGAAGAAAATATTGAGACATCTTTTCCAAATGGTCATAAACATTATGGTACAGCCGACCGCAGCATTCAATCGAATGCAACCATTTTGTAATTAGCTGTTCTGCTTCATTCCATCATGACCGGTATGAGGTCCCTTGCAATCCTGATGTCGTACATTTCTCGAAATTACTATTCGCTCCGACTTATTTTGTGATCACTCTTATTTTATGAATGATCGACGAGACTGTTAAGGAAAAACGATTAGAAAAATGGGAAAAATGATTAGAAACAAGCTAATTAATTCTTGAAATCCGTTTCTCAGTGTAGTTGTTAGGATAGTTTTTCTTTTTTTACGTTCCAGAAGACATTTGTACATATCCTGTTTGGGTGGCTGACGTATCAAAATTAATCTTTGAAAATTGATCATTCGGATAAATTGATACTTTTTTGGTATTTCAGGTACTCAAAGCGAAAGCCAAACGTTTTCAAGCAATTCGAGCAGTGTCTGAAAACTGCATGTTGCTGGAAGAGACGGACAATCAAGCCGATGAGACTCTGTAGGCTTCTTGGTTTGTTTATTTCTACTGGTTTTCGTGCGCTCTATGCTATGTATAAGATGTATTTGGTGACTTCGAAGATTGATGTTGTCAATTTTTGAAGATCTTTACTGATAGTGCAATATTACAGTAGGCTGAAACTAAGTCCCAGTCTAGTTATTGTACTTATCACTTTCTTATACTGCACGTTCTCTTTTAATTGTTTGAGGTGATGATTTCAGGTGAAGGTGATATCGCGCTTTCCTTCAGTGGTTGCGGATTTCTTGGTGTTTATCATTTTGGAGTCCTTCAAGGACTCAATCGCGATGGAAAGGTCATTTTTATTAAATCAGTAACTTCCATAAGTAGATTAATTGGCGAGCAAGAATAAAAAAGATATTTGAATATGATTCTTCATTTAAATAAAAAGACTTAAATCTTTCTTATAAAAATTTAAATAAGAAAGATATTTAAATTTACTTAAATATGAATTTCAGGCTTTGATGAAACGCGTAAAACGTTGTGCGGGTGCATCAGCAGGTTCTCTAGCAGCTGCTTTGTGGGCGTTTCAACCTGACGATACTGAGGTTGGTTGAAATACGTCATTATTTATATGCTGCAGTTAAAGTTATATTGGCAAGCTAATTGTTTTAGGAAATTCTTGTGATAAGGTAGGTTTAGAAAAATCGTTACTTCAATAATTTTAGGATTCCAAACATAACTTATATTTGGAACATAGTCTAATGATAGCTGTCATTTGATGAGAATCGATGTAATTTATTAGTTTAGTTTCAACAGTATAGCTTATTCACTCCGTAGAGTTGATAACTTTTAACAAAATGAAGCATGAATCAAACAGATCCTGACAGATATTAAATAAAAATTGACATTGTCAATCTAAATCTGTTCTTTAAATATTGCGCACTTCTATGCGATTAAGCGAAACACAGCTTATTGTTTTAGTGCGTAATTTTATAGCTACCACATTTTTTATAGAAAGGTTTCAACGATGTGATCAAAATGGCCACCGAAATACATTCATTAAGATTCGGTGCACTATCGCCAAACTTTGCACTTCACAAAAGTTTACAAAGAATTATAGATCTCTACATTCCGGAGGATATTTCAAATGCACAAGACAGACTTTACATATCTCTTACTGATCAGAAGGTTAAATTTTATTTGGATCTTCATTGTAAAAAAACTGGATACCGATTGACATACACAGAGAAGATGTGCATGACGTAAATGTCAGAGGCATATTTCAATCTTTTTGCCGTCGCAAAACATTAGTTATGCGCAACATGTCTTTGCGCAGACTGAAATATTTTAAGATTTATTTTAATCGTCTTTCAATTTTTGGTTTTACGTCTTTCATTGTTGCCACCACAAATATGAATTAACCATTTAAGGTCCTTTTGAAATATAGTTTTGTTTGAAGTGTCCGTCATCCTATTGACAAAAGTGAGACAAGAGTTAATACAATATTTAACATTTCAACTGATATATTTTTGTAGAGGAACGTTAATAAGCTGATTTCACGATTCACGTCAAGGGATTACTTGATAGACTCTTTGCTGGCCAGCTGTTATATACCGCTCTATTCCGGTTCCTCTCCTCCTGTAATTGATGGTGATGTAAGTTCTTATTGATTCTTATTTTTTTGTTAAGCTGCTTTAACTATGCCAAATTTCTCACGAAAACTTAAACACAGTACCACAAGTTTTTTTTTTTTNTTTTTTTTTGTCAATATTCAGCTCTTTAATTTGGATTTTAGTTCGCATTCTTGTTATTTTAGCAATACATCGATGGCGGATTTACGAATAATTTGCCGATATTTGAAGAAATGCCGACAATTACTATTTCTCCATTCAGTGGAAGTGCTATGATTGCTCCAAATGATTACGATTCGGTGAGACCATTTCGTGAGTGGCGCTTGCGAGTTGGTACACAAGAATTAAAGGTTTATAATTGTATTTCGTATTAATGAATTCATTCTTTCTTTGCAAAAGGCAAAGTTCATTCTAATACCACGGCTGTGTTGCGAGAGCTAACGACGTTTTCCAGATTATTATCATTATAATTCCTATCTGTCATCGTTTTCATTCACTATTTGTTTACGTATGATTCAGTTTGAGTATACGTGCTTCACTTTTCGGATAATAGAATTTTAAATCACTGAAAAGCCTTTTTCTTTTGAGTCCATCGCAATGAGTACGAATAACTACTAACGAGATATTGTTAAGTTCTTAGGAATTACTCCCAAATTTCAATGAGACTTTGGAATTTAATGCAGGAGAACATTTCTTTTCATAACATTAATTCGTTCAGGTAAATGTGCAAAATATGATTCGGGGAGCGCAGGCTCTATTCCCTCCAAATCTTGAAATTTTGAGAAATTACTATGAAATGGGCCAACGTGATGCGATGAGATTTTTATTGGATGTTGGTATTTTGGAACGACAGCTGGGTGATGCCGTTTGATATGGGCAGGATTTTAATTGATGTTATCGCGTAGCATCATTTTCGAGCTTGAATATAAATGCTTTTATATAAAAGTGCTTCTCTTGCTTTATTTTATATAGTGATTGCCGATTCTTTTGATATGTATTTACTTTTAATTGGATCGTAATTAATTTAAATCTTGTCCTTTTTTTTGGTAGATTTCATGCAGTGAGGAGAAGCTTGACGTAGACTTTAGTTGTTTATTCTTTGTATTTCGTGAATCTTACACAGTTAACTGTCCTTTTTCAATTGCAACACTTTTCTCTTTTTCCCATTATTTTTATCTAAAATCGATATAATGACTGTTTTGAATATTTCTATTCGCATTTGTATTACAATTTTTTGCGGGTATTGTATTTTTGTTTGAAATTATTAATAAATGTTTTTGTATACATGCTCTGCTTGGTATATTAATAGTAAAGGATATTTTTCCTGGTTGTTTACAGCTATCAATGTTTAAGGCGCTTATCAAGTCATGTTGATGAAAAATTTCTGATACGAATTGGTGAAGTTATGAAGTTTAGTTGATCTTTTTAGTGAAATCACGGCTTCTGTTCTGTCATGACACTTGTGCACGGTGATACTTAAATTCTGGTTCACTTATTTTAGGCATGTGTTTGTGTGTGGTCGAAGATGTGAGGTAATGTCAACAATTCAAGCGCTCAGGAAAAGAGCTCTGTTTTTTTTCCGGCTTATTATTGCCATACTGGGCAGGCTGTGTTCTTGCTTTAAGCGAAGGAAAAATATCGGAGAGTTACCATATACAGTTGCTAATCGAAATCCACAAGCGTATTGGAAGTCAGGTGATTTCATTTTAAAGATTTAAGTAGGTAGGGATAAGGAAGAAGAGAAGGAGAGTTAGGAAAAAGAAGAGTACTGATGGATGTTTAATTTCAGGAGTTGGTTTACATTTAGGTATTGTGTTGCTTTTAACAGTTTATCTCTGACATGTAACTCAAATTTTTGCAATATCGGATGCTTTTAATGACTCGATTATTCTGATACCTGTCTTATTGCAAAATCTGTGAAGTAATTTTTTAATTGATTCTTTTAGACAAGATTCTGTCTGTACATTTCACAAATTGCTTTTCAGCTCTAAGTGAGGAACAATGGAAAGGCTGGAGTGATACCCCATTTGTCACTTCAGTTGAAGAAAAAATCATAGAATATCGTCGTAAAAAAGCAGGACCAGAAGTTGCAACAGAAGGAGAAATTGAAGCTGATTTTTTTAATGATATGCAACCCAAAGTTGTGCAAACTCCAAGAGTTAGCTATTTTCTGAAATACAAGAGAAGCATTGCTTCTATTAGGTTCATTCTATCATATTTGCTTATTAAAATTTGTAATGAATATCCCTTTTCTTGCATCATAGAGATTATTTAGAATTATTTTTATCGTTTCTTCAAATTTTTGCAGCAGGTTGCAGTCTTCTTTCAGGCTTACATTGGCAATTATCATAACATATCTGCTCAGAGTAGCAATTTATTTGGTGTGGAAACAGACCAACTGCTACCTTCTCATGTAAGTATGCAGAATGATGCATTGAAGTGATTTTTATAGAATGCCTTTCATTTCGTTGCTTTTACAACAAAACTGTCAAAATTTTCGATTATAATGACTTTGAATGCTGCGAAGGATATAATTCTTATATATATTTTTTTCCCGGTTCATACGTTTCTTCGTTTAGTTAAACGAACTTGGTAGTTTGGAGGATACGAACACACATGATGAAGCTGAAAATTGGGACACTCAAATCGATATTGAGGGTGTTGACAATGCTTTACGTGAAGTAAGGGAATTACACGAATATCGAAATTTCAGATGTTTCTTGTTCCTTCGTGGATTCTCTTGCAAATTTTTCGGTCCAAATTATTTCCAAAACATCCTTTTTAATTTTGACTGGAGTTTATTCCTGTATTTTACCACCTTGACTCTGCTGATCTTTACGACTATTTTATAGAGCAGTACCTACAATATTCTCTTTATTCACTCTAAAATCCCAATCACAATATATTTCATTTTATGAATCAATGCAAGGACATAATCACAGTTATTTTATGATTTATATAAAAGGTATTCCAAAAAAAAGTACTGTTTTTTATCCTTGATATTTTCTTGTGTATCTGAAACATGACTTTCTGTAAATATATATTTGAGTCATAGATGAGATTAAAATTAAGTTTATGAGGCAGATCAAGTTCCTGACATTTGTTATCTTCTGTTTTACTTCTGTCTTTTATAATTTCTTGCTTATTTTCTGGCCAAAAATTTTACAAAAAAAATTTCCGATCAATTTTTATTGTAAAAGCGACTATGCTATCAAAATCATGTTTTCCTAGATTCCACTTCTTAATTTCTTACGTTCCGGGCTCAGTTTTGTTCTATTGAATTGCAAATTGTTTATGATTAGAATTTGAATTTCTGAAAATTCGAGAAATGTCGTATTTGGGGAATTTTTTTTAGTTATGCACAATATACTTTGGAAAACTGGCAAAAATTTTGATTTAAAATTTTGTTTCATGGCAAAAGTTATGCTTCAAGGTCCTTTTTTTTTCAATTCCACATTAAAATCTACTTAGGGCTATCTCTTGACTAAATGGCGGATAAAAAGACTTCTCATTACTATAGCTTCAATTAAATCATACTTTTAAATACAGCGGTTAAAAGTTGACAATATTAAAATTGTTGTTTCTTCTGGACATATACTATTTTCAGCAAAGGGCTAAAGAAAGGCAAGAACGGCGACTGGCAAGACAAATGGAGCATGCAAAACGATTTGAGCGAAGAAAGGAGTGAATGGTCTCTTAAAAAAAAAATTCTTTGATGAAAAATTGAAAAATGAAAAATTCTCTTAATTCTCTGATTTTTTCTGATAGCTTTTCTTCGGATTTTTCAGAATTAGAAAAAAACTAATTTTCCAGAGTTTCAAGGATAAACAGAGATAATAAAGGATTTCTGCATCATTTTATTAGGACGATATACTTTATCGTAATTATTATATTATATCTTTTAACTGTCTTTCTTTCTATTTCCAAGTTTGTTGTGAATTAACTTAAATATTCATTCATTTGCTTTTATTTGTATACCAGCATAAGATTTCGTTGTGAATCATTGTTGTTGTGTTTTCAGAAATCGTTCAATGTAATTGAGAATGGGTGATATATTTTTACGTCATCTTTTATGAAGATATTCTGCTAGAGCATTCCGTACTGAAATACGTAGACTCAAAATGTATTATCATTTTTTCAGCTAATCTCCTTATTAGCTAATAGTAGTCGTGCATAATTAACAGTTGAAAATTAAGTTTTACTATTAATTTCATAAGAATCTGCAGTAATTTTCTTTCCTTCTTACACATATTTCATTGGTGAATTTTATTTGATTAATTTTGATTAATCATAACAAGTAATCCTTTAAGTATATATATATATATAAATATAAATAAATAACTTTTGGCTCAATTTCAATTTAACACGCAGCTCCACTTTATGAAGATTGAATAAGCATATTTTTATATTTTGACGTTTTTTTAATCGCTTATTTAAATTATTACTTATCTATAGCCTGTCATCATCTATTCACTACTTCTGATCCTAATAATTTCTACTTCCAGTCTTTTTGTGACAGTCGAAAAAAAAAGAGATATTTGTCATTAGATCTGCTCGGCATTTTTTGCATGACAAACTATTCTCATGAAAATTATGGAGATGTTGGAAACACATGCATTTTGTTTGTTTTAGAAATGCGAACAATGGAATAAATTGTAGAGATGAGAATACAACAGGATGACATCAGTTAACATTACTGATAAAGAGATAACAGCTAGTATTTATCAACAAGATGGATAGATTCAATGTGATATGCGTAAAGTAAATGATTTAGGTTAGATAGTAAAAAAGCTTTTTAAAATAAATTTTTTCAAATTTTGTTATACCGTTAAAATGTCCAGTAAATACTTTAAAGAAAAACAGAAAGATGCAACTGTTACATATGCAATGATATGAATTACTCAATGAATTCCTATGAATGAAGACTAGGAAGTTAAATTATTCCATCTGTTAACAACAATTCCAATAAACAAATCACTGACAAGTAGTAGTATTTTTCAATGATTTCACGAATCACTGATAAGTAATAGTATCTTTCAACGATTTCACGAATCACTGATAAGTAGTAGTATCTTTCAATGATTTCAGGAATCACTGATAAGTAGTAGTATCTTTCAA